ATACCACACATCGCGACCTTTCACCACAGGAAAAGGGAAAAGGACTTCATGACCTGATATTCTCTCTCTCTCTCCTCTCTCTCTCTCTCTCTCTCTCTCTCTCTCTCTCTCTCTCTCTCTCTCTCTCTCTCTCTCTCTTCTGGTTTCAGTAACAACTCTCTATGGAATCCATCATAGCCAGTCTGCTGTATTTTTTTTTTAAAGAAGTAGGTGGGAGTGAAGGATGGTAAACACTTCCCAAGCTATGATTTATTTTAAAGCATTTTTGTCTTGAAAGGTGTGAAAACAGGAACTGTCGCTGGATGCTTATTGCCATCCTAGAACTATTTCTGCCACTTGCCATTTGCGAGGTGGGAAAGAGGGGGCACAGGGGTGAGGTGGGGGGAGGCAGGGTATGGACTCAACTTTCATCTGTAAACAGGGGTCACTAAACAGGGGACATTTCATTATTGCCCTTATCTTCTCTGGAGGTAGGGAGCCTGCTTGCCACCCCGCAGGGTGGCCCAGGCTGGGCAGCGCACGGGTCTCTAAGGTGTTGTTGGGCGGAGGGAGACACAATTGGCCTAAAGACTTGAAAAGAGGCCCAGGAAAGTCTGCGCACAGCAGAGGGAAGCTGAAGTCCTAGAGATACAAGGTTTGCAAACGTCCCTGGCAGGGGTGTTCCACCAGAATTAGACCAGAAAAGTCTCTACTAGAGCAGAGGTTATCCTGCTGGAACTCATCGACTCCTCAGGGACCAGGATCACGCTTTCTGTCCCTCTCCAGCCCTTCCCCCTCTGAATCTCCCACCCTTTTCTAGTCTGCTGGAAGGTGAGGAACCTTGCCCAACCGGCATCTTGTGACTCAGGCAGCCAGACTGATTGACTTGGCGAGGTTTTAATTAATAAAGTTAATGACAAAATTAAAGCAAATAGCCAGACCAACTGAAGATGGCAGCTTCCCAGTTGGCTCTATTTAATTAACACCAACTAATACATGTTCAGCTAAGGTCCTCGCAGATACGCTCTGGCTTCTCCTTTGTGAAAGGAAGCAGAGAAGGAGTCGGAGGACCAACACTTCCCAAGCAGCCGGGGCATTTTGCTCTGATGACAAGAGCAATTGGAAATTCATTTAAAACTATGTTCATAACAAGTGACAGGCGTGTTCTGAGGTGACTTTGGTGGAAACAATGGTGAAGCTGACAAATGTTCCTTGCTGTGGGGGAGGGGCTGTGGGGGAGGGACACCTTTAAGTGTAGGGAAACGCTCTGGTAGAGGGAAGAAAGACGGGAGCATTTTAAAAAGAAAAAGAAGGAGGAGGAGGAGAAGGAGAAACGTTGCTTGAAACTGCAGGCAGTCAGCAGCCCGCAGCCCCTGCAAATGCATCAGCTCCACACTGCTCAAGACTTGGACACATAATACTTCAGACCGCTGATTTGCTATTTTCTTAATTCTGGTTCTTCTTTTTCCATATGAATCAAACAGTCTTTTGTCCTTCAGGGTTTGATTTGATCGCTACTGTTCACATTTCACTTTTGTATTCCTCTTCCTATACCATTACTCATTGAGTGCCCCGTGAAATTACAATCGTACATTTTCAACTCAGCAACCCATTTGCAGTGCAAAAAAAAAAAATAGGGTCTAAATAATGGCTGAATTAGCCCTACTGGACAGTTTCAGATGTAACACTCTGTAATAATTATATTGCAGGCTGGATTAGGATGCTATTATCATAATCTGGACGTTTACAATTATCTGTAATTTGCAAAGATGCGCCAGGTCTTGATTACAGCAGCTTTTTTTTTTTTGTATCACGCTAACCATCACTAAACAGTGACAGTAATAACAGCTAATTTTGCTGGCAATATAAGAGGTGCTGGGGTGTGCAAACAATTTCACACCTGGATGTGCTCACTCAACCAAGAATATAGACACAGAGCTTCTGCCCTGAGACTCAGAAAAATACTCTCCTGTGCTTCGGCTCAGTATAGATTTCTAGACCCTGATCATTGCTTAGGAGATACTCACTGGGGTAAGTTTTTATTTCTGGCATACTTCTAGGCACAGGTTTTCTATTTCTCACCTCATACTCTCCGTGCTGTATGGAATGTGTTGCTGTGATTTCCTTGAACTGCAACTTTGTTTTCTAGGCTCTGGTTCTGACCTTTGATTTTCCTTTAACAGTAACAGAGTTGATCTGGTGAAAATGGGATCCTTAAGAACCTGATTTGCCTGTCTTGCTTCTGTGCTGCTGATGGGTTTGGTGTAGTTTGTGACTGGAGACTAGGAAAAGACCAGGTTTCTGGGAGGCATGGAAGGAGCCTGAGAGTCCAAGCTAAAAATCTATCAGAAAATTGTTACTTACAATTGCTTAGGGAAATATAATGAGGTTTTTACTTTTACATGCGGCTGTGATTTTAGGTTTTGAGGTATCAAGAGATCAGACGGAACTGGCTGTGTGGCTTGCTTCTTTGCAGTCAGGTATGCGGATGCGTGTTAGCAGATGCAGGTGTGCCCGAATCGCTGGACTCTGCAGCCCCTTGGAACATCTTCTTTCCAGCTGGGGGAAGTTTGTAGATTAACTGGCATCTGAAGCCCCTTCAAGGCTGTTCCTTAAGGCCTTTCTTTAGAGCTGTGTGTGTGTGTGTGTGTGTGTGTGTGTGTGTGTGTGTGTGATGGGGGAGGGGAAAGTATCGAGATCTTGGACCTGCTGAATCCAAATGTTAGGGTTAGAGGGGCATAATTGGTTGAGACACAAAACTGATATAAGCAGCCAAGGAAGCAGTCTAATCTATGTACCAAGGAAGACACTAGCAAAAAGCTGTGCTGTTCTATCTATAGATGACGCTGTTTCCTGATCCGGTAGATTTTATAAGCAGCTAGAAATGTTTGGTACAGGAGCCCACAATGCCTGACTTCCCCACCCTGTGGAGAAAAGCTTTCTACTGCGGCAAGAACCTTTGCACTAAGCCTAATCCAAAGATAAGGAGGTGCTTATTTATCCGTGAGGAGGAGAAATTGTCACTCTCCCATACCCTTACCCAATAGCTCAGCTCCGCACCCTACCCCACCCCACCCCTTAGTATGGTCAGAACCGGGCTTTGGAACTCAAACTCTATCACCTAGGAGGAAGTCTGAACGTGGGGAGGCGCAGTAGACACCTCAACTGGCAACGCCTTTCACCCACGCCCCTCCTACCAATCCCTCCCTCAGGGAATCAGTTTCCTAGGGGGTCAATACATTTTCAAAGAGAAAATATTAACCCTTGAAGTTCGGGGGACCCAGGGGGAGCCCAGCTCTACGGAGAGTTCCAGGGGGCCTATCTCCTAGAACTTACCTGATTCAGCTGATGTTAAGAGACAGAGATGGGGTGAAGAAATACCATCACCAGCGTCCATCATAGTAACATACATTGGCCGGGTTTCAGAATTCCACACACTCACAGTGGTTTGGCATATATTTGGTAAATTTTTTAAGGAAAAAAATTAGTGTTGGTTTGGATATATGGTAGCTTTCTCTCTGACATAATTTGAATAATTCAGCAAAGCCCCACTACCAGCTGTACTTCTGCAGCCTCTTCCATTCTTTTCAGCATTATAATTTTGGTTAATTTTCAATTTTAGGTCCTACGTCTCTGCAATTTGTGTATGAATAACAGAATAATTTCCCTCTTTTGTTTCGCCTTTCCTGTTCCTGAATCTAAATAAAGATGGCTTTTTAGTATTAAAAGTGGAAGAAAATTACAGGTAATTATCTTTGACGGTAAAAACGCTGTAATCAGCGGGCTACATGAAAAATTACTCTAATTATGGCTGCATTTAAGAGAATGGAAAAAAACCTTCTTGTGGATAAAAACCTTAAATTGTCCCCAATGTCTGCTTCAAATTGGATGGCACTGCAGCTGGAGGCTTTGTTCAGAATTGATCCTGGGGAGCTACGAACCCAAAGTTTCACAGTAGGAAGGGGGAAAAAAGAAAAGAAAACATTTTTCCTAATGTAACAATGGGAATGCTAGAAAATGACAAGACTGATCGGTTTTAAACCATTCTGAAGACTGACTGAGCGTGGAAGTTGCTCAACAAAAAAAGGAACGGGTATATTGGTAAGTAGTCTTTGCCTTGTGTCTAATTATAGTGACTGTCCTTTTGCACGACTGTATGTCGCTGTCATTATATGGAGCACTCTGAGTATCTCTATTGACTTCTGATAAATGGCTCAGTGGTTTCAAGGTTCATAATTTGAAGGATGCCCAGGTCTGTAGCCATTAATTCTCACAGTATGGGGCTTCCTGCTTGTATGACGAAAGGACTTTTCCTTTCCATTATTTCTTTGCTTTCCATGAGATCGGAAGGATGCGTTTCTCCCAGGACAGCACATTTTCCTACCTCGCTAGCTGGCAGTGGGTTTTCAACATTAAGTAATCAAAATTGTGCACTTTGCTTTCTGGGTTTGTTATTCTTTCCTCTTTTTAATTAATCAATTTATTTATTTATTTTTTTCTGCTTCCAAAGGCAAATATAGCTGTACTATTTTGTCTGGGAAAGGGGGAAGAATAATATTCAGATACAGTACTGGAAGTGCCTGGATGTCTAGATGTTAGCCTGGGAATACATTATAATAATGTTTAAAAAATACAAAACTGTATCCGAATCACAACAAAATTAAAATGAAAGGCTGGGAAAACATGCACGGCTTGTGTTAAGGTTCCTAAGACAAAGGCTTGTGGTGCAAACTGACATCTCTTCAGGCACTTGCTAAGTCTGTATAGAGCACCCCACATTAGGAATCAGAAATTGTTTTAGGAGAGGTGAATATATATATATATACATATATATATATATATATATGAAAAGGAGGAAGAATGAAGGGACAGGGACAAGGGACACTTGGAGAAACAGAGGACACTCCCAACATTTTGTGGCTTTTACTCCATATATGAAAGAAGACAAAAACATACAAAGTATATATACAACTAAAATTCAACAATATATACAGAAATGTTTCTTGATATAAAGGTCCCTATTAGCTTAGTGAATGCCACTATTCACCTAGGAGAGGTGTCAAAGCAATAGAATGGTGATTTTGGTTGTTTCCTTGGTCTTTCTTGATTCAGAGTTTAGAGGTGGGTTATGCAAAGAGCATCTTTCTTGTTGCTGTTACTGTTTGTATTTAGTTGAATCATCGATCCAGGTCATTGCATTTAGGTAAGACATGCAGCGTTTCTTTTGTGCACTGTTCTAATTTCACAGCCAATTTCTCTTCTTTCTTTAGAGAAGGGATACTGGGGCTTCTTCTTCTTCTTCTTCTTCTTCTTCTTCTTCTTCTTCTCCTCCTTTTTCTCTCAGTCTTGGATTTGTAAATAAAAATTCAGGAGTCCAAAATCCTTGTCTTTCATCACATAATGTCTTAAACTCATTAAACAAGTAAAAATGCTGCCATGTTTTTGTGCAGATTGTTCTGCGGGTGTAGAATGTCTATTTAAAAAAAAAAAAGTCATTTTGATGTTGAGTCCCAAAAAGGAGGCCTGAGGCCTGGATCCCAAGGTGTGAGGGAAAATATCCTTACAGTGATGGGTTTCCAGAACACTGGACAAAAACCTCTCTTTCTCTCTCTCTCTCTCTCTCTCTCTCTCTCTCTCTCTCTGTCAGATGCAAAGTTACTTATTAAGGACTTATTAAGTTACTGAAGAGAGGCGATTGCAGAAAGGGAGGGAAGGGCGAAAGGAAGGAAAAAAAGATAAAAAGGGGTGGAAAAAAGAAAAGGAGGAAGGAAAGAGAGTAGGAAGGAGAGAGAGAGAGAGAGAGAGAGAGAGAAGAGAAGAGAAGAGAGGAGAGACCCAGATCCCAGATCCCAGGGACAGTTCCTCTGAGCTTGTCGCTTAGGCTGTTTGGCAGATGCAGGTGAGTCCTGGGTTCTCAGAGCTTCTCTGGGAAGTCCCGGAGGCCATCCACTCAGCAAGTCACATCATTTGTGGTCTCTGCATGGTGTCCTGGTGTGGTGAGGAATACCAGGGTGAGTAGCCAGGCATGTAGCTGTTGGGGGGCATACTAACGCCCTTGGTGGAGGCAGAAACGTCCCACACTGGAGGAAGTGCTGGCGAGCGAGGTGACAGAGCTGCTGAACCTGGGAGAGGGTCACTCTCATGGGGGTTACTGCCCTGCTTCAGCAATTTCTTAAACTTAGAGCGTTTATTCTGAAACCATATCTTCACCTGCAAGAAATGGAGCAATCAGTAGGCCAGATAAACATCAAACCGGTGCCTTCAATTAGCATCCTAGGCTCAAGAAGCAATATAAAAATAAACAACAAAACCATTGCAATTCCAAAAAGCAATCCCTTCACCTCTTTACAGCCATCTCCATTTCTCTACTATAGGCCTACTCTTATCTTGCTATGATACCTACAGTTCTTGTGATTCTTGGGTTGAATCCTAGCCTGGCCTTTAAAGTATCAACATAAAATTACAAATAAATCAAATGAGATTGGTGGAGCAAAATTTTATGGACATTTAAGTGAAGTAGATTTTGGGTCAAAATCTTACAACTGAATTTGCCTCCTCCAATTATTTAGTTTTATATTTAATAACCTCCAAACTCGCAATGCTATGCATATCTAAGTAGCAAATGACTATGAATTGATTAAAGGTTGCCTTTCACAAGCAAATCGCTTGATCATACCTGTGCATATTGTGCATATGCCACGGAATATGCCTGAGATATCTTTCTCCAGACATAAATATCTTTCCAGTCCTGCAGGGATGAGGAAATGCACCATCCCCCATTCCCTACCTAGTATGTTACTTAAGCAAACAGAGGTCATCAATCATCACATGATTGGGATAGCTACTAGAAGTCAAAGGCCTCTGAAAACCACATGTGAATCAGAAGTCTGTGTTGGCAGCTCATTTAGGACAACAACCCAAATTTTTTGATGAAAGAAAATGTACGAAGCAGCTTTACCTTTAAAATTCCTGAATCTGTTTTTCCAAGAATAAGAGTCATGGAGTATCTAGAGTATCTTAGGAAACCTCAAATATTTTCAGTGGCACCATGGCGCTAGAGATCAGGCTGATGGGAAAGAGCTTAGGGAAGAGGCCTGCAGACACCATTCTACACAGTCTGGGCAACTGTCTTGTAAGACCTGAAGACCTTGCTTCATGAAGGTGATGAATGTCATAGTAGGCCTCTCCAGCCTAAGCAGTTGGTTTAACTGATGGTTTGAGAGCCCAGCCTAATCTAGTCACCTCTAGGCCCCTTTCTGTGAAGTCTGAGCCGTCCAGCACATCTCTCAAGTGACCAGGACTATTATTTGTGGTGTCCCAGGCCATAATTGGGGGAATATTCTCTTTGTGTTTCAATTCTGTCAAGTTCTAGACTATAGTGAAGTACCCCAACCTGTACTATTTGGTACCAGGGTGATGTAATCACTGAGCTTAAAGCAATCATCAAAAATCCCTAGTTTACCCATCCTGGAGGGAATGGCTTCACACAGATGCCTTTATTAAGCTACTGGAAAATGTGTCTAGTTAACTTGCTGCTTGTCTCAGCTCTTAAGTTTCTTTCCTATGTCAATGAGTTGAAATTCTTATTAGCTCTCCAGGGGTCACAAGAAGGTCCTTAAGAAATGGCCTTATTTTGCTTACTAGCTGGCAACCCCCATCTCTCTCTCTCTCTCTCTCTCTCTCTCTCTCTCTCCCTCTCTCTTTTTCACACACACACACACACACACACAATTGTTTTGTGTCATGTTATTATGCTCTGAAATCGGATTTGATTGAGCTATGCTTTTGTTCACCGAAAGATGCTAGGCTCGGCTGGAGTCGCAGAGGGTTGGTGTATATGCAAATCCAATCCAGTATCCAATACCATGTCATTTGTTCCAAACTGTGTGATCCCGTGAAAATGCGCAACTGGAACATAAGCATTTGTCATTTAGCTCCTTGCATCCTTGGTTGACTAGGCCAAGAATTCCTCCTGGTGTGCTCTCTGCACGATTGGCAAGCGGGGCCAGCATTTCAGGGATACTCGGGCTTCTCGGGAATTACCTGTGTTTGTGTCAGTCCTAAGGAAGCTGCCAGTTCGGCTCTCTCGGGAAGGGCCAGGTATTGAGTCTGCTGGAAGCGATGGTTTAAAGCCTGGAGCTGCAGGCTGGAATAAATGGTCCGAGGCTTCCGAATCTTTTTCCCTTTTCCGTTGAACCTGATTTCCCCGTTTTCAATCACTGTAGTTTTTTGTTGATCTGTAAGCAAATGACACAGAGGAGCGGTCACCCGTGAGGCCACTGCTGCCTTCTCCCTTCATGTGACAAGGCCTGCAAGGAGTTCTCCCAAACTTAAAAAGGGTTCCTCGTAGTATCCCCACCATACCCGGAACTCCCTGGGTCCACTGTGACCGTGTGTCCCCAGAGGCTTTGGAAGTTTCCCTCTGATCGAACCTCTAGGCCTAACAATGCCTGGTGGTGGTCGAGTCTCGGACGCCCGCTGCATAAAAGCGGCACTCCGCAACAGCGGAGACAGCGCCGGCGGCTTTCCGGAGTCCGCGGCTCCGTGAGGTTTCTGCTCTCTGGGCCAAGAGCGGCTTCTTGGCCTGGCTTTTTACAATGCCTGAAGCTGTATCTGAGCCACCGGGTGTTTGTGTGCCCTCTTGGTTTTGTGTCTCTTAGCTGCAAGCTTTAAGTCCCTTCCGTCTGTTCGAAATGAAATGGTTCTACTCGCGTGGATCAAAACCCAGAAACAAAACACAATCAGCAGCTCAGAGCAGCCCCAGGGCAGGCTGCAGCTCTCCGGACAACAGAGAGCTATCAACCCCAGGCCTTCTGCTTCGCCCCCAAGAACAAAGGAGCAGCCAAAGTACTGTCGAAAACCCAGAGAGAGGGGGTCGGGTCAGGATGGGGGCAGGGGACACCTCAAAGCGCACAGCGGTAAGAAAAAGCCCAATAGTCATAAGTTTAAATGAATCTATCGGCCGCAACAGCTTCGTTACAAGTCACTAAGGCGCACCAGGTGCCCCACGCAAAGTAGGCCCCGGCATGCCCAGTGTGGGGTGGGCAACCTAACTAGCTCTTCAGTCCGAGCCCCAAAATCTCCCCAGTCTTGACAAACGCGGGATACAGCGAAAGGGAAGGAACAAGGCAGAGGGCGCGCAGAGCCCGTGGCTGGATGGCGCAGTAAGGGACCTTGGAGCAAGACAAGCGCACAGCCCGGGGGCGCAGTGGGAAGCGCGCGCGCAGGAGGCAGGGAAGCCAGGCTGGCCGCAGGGTCAGCCAGCCAGGGGTCCACCGCGGCGGGAAGGGGCCCGGCTGGGAGAAGCCGGCAGGCAGGCGCCAGGCGATCGGGGCCCGGCTGGGGGCGCGCAGGGCCGCCCGCTGGAGGGGGCCGGCAGAGGCCCGGCGTGGAGGAAGTGAGCGGGGAGGGAGGGGTGGGAGGCAGTGGGGAGGCGGGAGAAGCTAGCTGCCTAAGCGGCCTCTCACCTGTGTCGTCCCCGCGCGTCTGGGCGGCCGCGCTGCTGTTGTGGTAGGACTGGAGGTAAGGGCTGTGCTGCGAGTGGCTCATGTAGGGGTAGGCGGCGAGAGATCGGTGGTTGTAGGAGTTGCCTCCGCCCGACGCGTAGGGCGAGCCGTGGTGGTGGTGCTGGTGGTGGTGGTGATGGGAGCCGGCCGCCGCCGCCGCCGCCGCGGCCGAGTGCAAGCAGTGCAGAGGGTAATGCGCGCCTGCCATGGCCGGGGAGGTCTGCTGCGAGTGCGGCTGCGGCGGTGGCGGCGGTGGCGGCGGCGGCGGCTGTTGCTGTTGCTGCTGCTGTTGCTGCTGCTGCTGCTGCTGCTGTTGCTGCTGCTGCTGCTGCTGCCCGAACTCCATGAAGGCGGATTTGGACGAGTCCTGGCCTTCCAAGCCGTCAGCCATCGTAGTCATGGTCATCATCAAAACTTTGGGGGCTGGAGAAAGCCTTCTCCCGGGTTTCCTCCACCCTCCCCCACTTGGCTCGCGCCGCTCTCCCCTTTGCAGCCACCTTAGCTCTCGGAATCCTTGCAAAAAAATTTAAAAAAAAATTTAAAAAGGAGGGGGCGGAGGTGATTCTCTTCCTTGCTCTTCTCTAATATATATATATATTTAATATAAAGAGATATAGTGAGCAGGGCCTTGTTAACCCAAAGGGAGGAGGAAGGGGGAGGGATGGGAGAGGAGGGGGGAGGGGGGAATCTGCTCTCTTCTCCCCCCCTTGCTTTCCCCCCTTGGATATTTTGGGGGCTGGTGCAGTTTAAGGCAGAGATTTTAAGGTGGATTCTGCGAAAGTTGCGCGTCTGCTTTCAGACTTGATGCAGACGCCACGAGTCGAATGGTTTGTCTCCAAAGGGCAGCGCCTCCCTATTGGTCAGTCGCCCCCTGACGTCACAGGCGCACCGCTTCTACTGGCGTGTGCGCTGCTCGCCGAGTTCTTCGCCTACCTTAAGCAACTACAATCTCAGCCCAGAGCTGCAACCTGGGTCCGCCTGGAACTAAAGGGGAGCAGCGGTGGAGGGAGGAGGACGAGTCCCGTCGAAGCTCCAAGCCCAGATCCTGGAACGCTTGTTTCCAGGATTGGAGGCTTGGAACAGCCTGGCAAGGATTCACTTGCACCCTTTCAGGCTGCCTGTGTTCAGAAGCAGTGGCCCTAGCATTTAAAGCCAGACCCCCCCTCACTTGACCGTCCCCCCCTCTGGACCCCAATCCTATTCTACTCCCAGGGGAGCGCCTTGTCACGGTGGGTTTTTCTAGAAGTTCTTTATTGAAACCTTAGAGGGAAGAAGGACCCCACATCTGGGCTCCATCTCATGGGGGGTAGTAAAGAAGGAAAACTCAGACCTTGTTCTGGCGCGATTCCTGCTGTTGTAGGTCCTATGTCCTATAGATTGACACCCCCCAGGGAGGAGGGACACCTCCCAGCCCAGAGCACAGCAGTCTGCTCTGAAAGCGAGTCGTTGGAGGGCTGACAGTAATGTATTTTTTCCTATTGAAAACAGAAGCTACTGTAATGCTTTCAAATATATGCAAATGATACATGCGGTTAGTGGTTTGGCAAATCTTGATTACAATATAAACTACCCAAGGAAAAGTGCCTTCGTCCTAAATTTGTCTCTCGATTACAATTCCAATTGATTTTATTTTATTGTCAACATTGTTAATGATAAAAATAGAGTCGTTTTACAGTTATTTTTACTTTCTGGAAGGAGGCAATTAGAGTTCTAATCAGGAATACACAAAAATCTCCCATGATTAACTGCAGTACTTTGTTCAAATTGCTGCTATAAAATTCAGAACAATTTGCCTGTAATGATTATGGACTGGGTTTATTTTGGGAGGTGGAATAAAAGTGGATATAGCATAAATTATCCTCTAATTATACACCAGTGTCGCCTCAATTATCCTCTTATCAAAATGGTTGTCTAACTGCCGCATTTAGTTTCAATTCTCTCCTTTTTTTCTATAAAAAGAACTTCATACCTTGTTATTATTAATCCATTTATTATTTGCAAGGGGGTTTATATCCGCACATCCAGGTGGTAGAACCACTTCTGTTTCAAAGATGGACTGGGGAAAGACATTAAGTTTGGAGCAGCTCAGGGCTACGGATTTAGCCTTTCTCCCTCGGGTCTCCAGACTCACTTAGGTCCAAGCTGCGGAGCAGGGACAGCGAAGCTCAGGCAGCCACGTTCAGGCCCAGCCACCAGGTAGGAGAACCCGATCCAACTCTAGGCTCGGAGAAGGGCAAGCCAGGCCGCAGCGGGATCCGGCCCCGGGACCGCAGGTAGGCTCCGGGAGCCCAGGCGATCAGAGTTTGAGTGGGCAAAATCTGAGAAACCCACCTTACCCCCCGGGCTCGGTGTCCACTTTCGGTGGGCTCTGGGAACTAGCTGAAAGGTTTTGGTTACAAGGAGAAATGTAGCTACCCTGTGTAGGGATATCTGGAGGATGGAGGAACGAGGTCGTCTTTTTGGAAAAACTACTGGTACATCTTTGCACCTTACTCCGTCTTTAGCCCATAAGCTACACGACCCCAAAAACCCTAAAATAGAAATGTTAGTGGCGCTGCTTGCTACTGGAATTCCAGAAAAGTGTGGTAGCCGACCGAACCGCTCAATTTCCAGGTTTCACCGGAGTCGCCTACTGCAGCTTATGCTAATTGATTTTTCTAGCCACCCGCCCGGGGTCTCCAAGCGCCCGCAGGCAAGTTTGCCTTTTTCTTTTCTATTCTTTATTTCTTTAATTTTTTCAAAGGAGTCGAGGCTCGTAGTCCGCCAGTTTTCTCCATGGTTTCACGGGCAGCTACATTTGCTCGGTCTTTCTTTGACCAGCCCGCTATGCTTAACTTCTTGAGTCCCGGGAGCCGGTTCAGTAACTCTGAATTCATTTTTAAGTGGCATCCCTTGTTCCTTTCCTTTTAACAGGAGGTGCAGCTTAACACGCGAACCTGTAACGCGATCCATGCGTTTACATAGCGTCAGTGAATTAAAACAACATCTAGGAAAATGAAAGATGCACTGGGGTGCAGAAAGGGAAGTCAGAGAAAGGAAAGCACACACCCCCTCCCTACCGCTGGTGGTGCACCCGGGCTGCGCGCCCAGCTCGTAATGTCCTCAAAGCCAGCAGGTAGACATGGCAGTTTTATTACTCTTTACCCTGCAGCTTGCTGTTAACACGATGAAGGCGTTTCTCCGGTTCGCCTTTCTGTGTCTCTCCTTAACGCGCGCAGGTGCAGTGCTTTGCCGGTTGACTCCCAGCAACTCTGATAGTTTCTGGAGCGGGATGAAGGTGGTGGGGCCGGGAAATGTCCTCTCACCCCTTAAGTTCCAGATCCTAGGCGCTCAGCGTCTGTTTGCAAAAGGATTTCCCCCTGGTTTGTTTAAAGTGTGAGGAAGCCAGGCAGCCTGGAATTGTCTCTTCTCGTGCCCTGTTTGGGCACATATCCCTTCCTTCGTTTGTAGAGGATAATAAAATCCCTTCATTCTGTTTCTGGGGTGCAAGTATGCATCTAGAGGGTTAGTTGTGTATGGTGTAGTTTTTGTTGAGGTTTGCTGGGTGCCCCAGGCTCGGCTGGGCGAGGGCAGCGAGCAAGGGATCTCACCAGACTGGGCAGCGGTCTCGGTGTGCTCATTCGGGGTAGAATAGTAGGACTTTCCACCAGTTCAGGGAATAGAGGACTAAAAACTCCTGTGGCCCAAGGGTGGGCGGCTAATGCCTGCCACGGTATGGCTTCTCCCACCAACGTTCCTCACATAGACTTTCTGGAGCCCAAGTCGCGTTGCTCCAACTGAAGTTGGGCAGTTCCTTTCCTAGTCCTCACCTGGTGTCTGGGGCAGCTTAGATAAACTGCGAAGCGGGCACTAGAAGTTAGCCCTACTTTACTGTAGTGCAACCTGCTGCCAGCCCTTTGGCTAGAGGCAAAACTTGGGGCTTTTCAGAGCTTTGCAAAAAAAGTCGCACTCCTCAGGGGCTCTCGGCCCCGGCGCCTCCCGCGCGGTGCAGGCTTTTTCCTCTTTGTTTAGCCCTCTGGGGAACCTCGCCAACTCTTGCCAGTGGGAGGGGAAGAAGGGCGAGTAGGGCCACGAACCCTTTATCATTCAAAATACAAGTAAACTTAGAAATCTGGAGGACTAAGCGGGTTTTTTAGAGCCTGTTACTTTAAGATAAGAATCATATTCATTAAAGTTTTAAAAAGGGGGAATTGGAGGCCTAGACTGCAGTTCACTTTTTAAGGTGTTGAGGTGTTGAGATTTTATATCGCTGCTTATATAGCTGATGTCCACATTAAGTAGAAAGTAAAACTAGCACGCTGCCCTCGGAACACCTCCCGCTTTTATCTCGCGGGGGTAGGTGTGTAGGAGTGGGCTCGTTGGGCCTGAGAATGGCCCCAGTTTAGTTCTGAAGGATGTTTGCATACACGTGCGGGACCGAGAATGCCTGGATCTCCCAGAAAGGTTTGTAGGCTCGGTGGGGGCTGTGGCAGCACATTCAAACCATCCAGGACTTGGCTGGGTTTGGTTGCTAAGTTGGGCTCAGTTATCACGTTGTTTCTAAAGAAATTAGACCTGGATAAATGGCCTTTGAATTCAAAGAAATAACTCGGTGTTGATTTACATAGCCACATTAAGAACCCCCTTCTCAACAGGAGACCTTGGAAAAAAATTCTGCTAGTTCTTTTCCTCATTCAACATAAAATTTTCTCTCTCTCTTTGTGTGTGTGTGTGTGTGTGTGTGTGTGTATGGTGTGTGTATCAGGAAAGGATGCCTGATACTCCAGAGCCCAGAAACCTCCTTCCCTCCCCCAATACACACACCCGTAAAAGCTCCAGGGTAGAAGAGAAAACTACCCCTTCCCATTTGTTGACTCAGCCTAATGATGGCACCTTCAGGAGAAACCCACAGGACCGACCTAGGCAAGAAAATGCTGAGACTTTGTTGTTGTTGTTGTTTTCCTCTAGCAATGAAACTGAACTGCCTATGTTAGTATCTTCCTCCCCTAGGTTCCCCCATACTGAGTTTAAAAGTGGGCTTGTCTATTATATGCCCAGAAGGAAGAGTCGGTAAAGTTTGGGGACATATACCTTTCCTGGGTTCCAAGAATGGGCACCTGGGAAACCACAACCCGGGACTGATCTCCAGGAAGTTTCATCAGGCTTTTCAAAAGGGTCTGACTGAAGAATATCAACTAAGCAGTCTCAACCTAGAGGCTCCTGTTGTAGGCTTTTTAAATCTGAGATTTCTTGGTCTTAACTTGGTCCTCAAACTCAGTGTCATCTCCCAGCTCCTTGGCTCAGTTCTTGGTGGGTTTAGCACTCCAAACTTTCTTCCTGGAGAGAACTGACCAACAGCAAGGCAGAGAATAGTTTTGTTCCCCACCTCTTGGTTTTGGGTTGTGCATGAAAACCTGTTTGCCTACCTTTCTTCCCTTTCTCTTCCTCCATCCCTTCCTTCTCTT